AAAATTGACCAATCAATCCGGCGTGGAGGTTAATCTGCCGGCGATATCAACTCGGGGCAGCGGCTGGATGCGGCGACGGTGACGGACGCCGGCGACAGTGGCGGAGCGGCAGCTCGACGGCGATGAGCAGCGACTGGCGGCGCTGCACTCGACGGCGGCGGATGGCCGCTGTGCAAAGGGAGACGGCGGCTGGAAGCTCAGGCGACGGCGGCTCTCGATTCCGGCGAGGGCGAAACAGCGGCGTCCGGCGTTTGGCGACGTCCTCCGTTTGGCGTGGCGGCGCTGCAAATCGACGGCGGCGATGAGCGACCGGCGCTGGCTCACGGCGGTGAGCGACGGCGGCTGGAGGCGAAGGAAGCAGCGGCGGCGCTACAACTCGGCGGCGGCGATGAGCGACCGGCGCTGGCTCACGGCGGTGAGCGACGGCGCCCTGGCTTGCGCGACGCCGGGCAGCGACAATTGGCTGCGGTGAACCTCCGGCGGCTGCTCCAATTGTACGGCGGCGATCGGCGCTGGTGCGGCGAGGCTTCCGGCGGCGAGCGACGAAGAAGAATGAAGGAGAAGAAGAAGGAAGAAGAAGAAGAAAGAAGAAGAAAAAGGACGGACGAACGAAGGATAAGGTTTGTGTGGTTATGTTTATTTAATGGTCCCATTCCAAAAAGGATTGGGCTTCGGACCCAAAATACCTGATTAAATGATCATAACTTGAGCTCTGTAACTCCGATTCGCGAGCCGTCTGAACCGACGCGATCACAAAAATATTTCCTACGAGATGACATAAAAGTTGGGCTTAAAATCCAAATTTATTTTAACCCTTTATTGGGCCCAATTCGTAATCAATTGCTCTAACAATTTAATTAATTCTTTTGGGGCAGGTTTCGGGGCGTTACAGACAATAAAATCACTAAGAGGACCCTCTTAATAACATTATAGAAAGAGAGTCACTATAACATGCCTTACATCCGGTTGATTAGTTTGAAATTCAAACTCAATTTAGGACCTATTTGAGAATAGAGCTGGAGGTTAGCGTTACCGTTTTGAAAAGGCTATTAACGAGCAACATTTAGTGTTTGCATTTCTAAAGTTAATCTGCACTGTTAAGTTAATTTACCCGTTGAGTTAGTTTTGGGGGTATGATAAGATATGAGTTTTGAGATCTGGGAGAAATAATATTCAATCTATCCTAAAACATTCATCCCTGTTACTATTCACACAGTCAAACTTTAATCACTTTCTTTACCTATTTTCGTTAGTTATTTGATAAAATAATATAATCTTGTCATCTATTGTTTTATTAGAACTTTTGATGTAGGTTTTAAATATATAAATTTTAAATTTACAGAAACGGGAAAAATGTTTTAGGATGGAGGAAGTATGAGTTTTGAAATCTGAAACAAAGTTGTATGGAGAGATTTAAAATCATGATTTAATTAGTATAGGCAGGGGTGACCTGCAATGAGGGTGGTTGGCTGACAATGGTAGCCGGTGGCAAAACATAGTCAACGGTTGAGAAAGATATCAAACATCTATATTGAAGTCTCCGAAATGATTCTAATGTCTAAGAAATTAAACATGTATCTTTTTTGTTCATTTAACACACCATTAATTTGATATACGATTTTTTATCAAGGTCATTTTTAGTTCAATTTATTTGAAAATCAGTATAAAATAAAAATAAATTAAAAGCACATATTTAAAATTTAGTACTCCCTCCATCCCAAAAAGATTGGTACATATTGACTTTTTGGGAAATTAAGGGAGAAATATTTTGGTGTTGACTTTTCAAAAATACCCTTGATGTGATGGGTAAAAGTAGGATGTGATGAGTAGATTATTAGGAAAAAGGTATGATGTGATAGGTAGGGTATGAAAAAGTAAGGGGTAAAAATGATTTTTTAATAGAAATGTAATGGACTTTATGTGACACAGTTTTTTCGAAACGTGTCGGACTTTTTGGGACGGAGGGAGTATATGGTTATTTTTATACGGAGTATTTAATTGCAACATAAATTTTAAATTACTATATGAAAATATTTTTTTATTTAAAAATTATAAGGTATCTAACTATTAATTTCAAAATAAACTAGTCATCGTGCATCATACGTGTACATGTCTAATAGGTACATATCTAGTTATCATAAATTACTCTATTCGTCACAATATATTTGCGTTGTTTGACTACTTGGAATCAAAGTAAATAACTTTTAATCATCAATTCATTTTCTATTTGTATTACACATTAATAGGATAAAATAAAATTCTAAAAATTTACAAGAAGTTAAAATATAACTAAACGATATTTATACAAATATACATTAAAGTTTTATTTGGTTGAGGTTTAAAATAAGTCAAGTTTAACTTAAAAAAATAAATTTGATTAATACAAAAAGTGGTAAAAAATGAAATAAATGGACAAGCCGGCGAGAAATTGAAAAGCAAAGCCCCACTCATCGGAGGCTCGGAGCTAATTTATCCCGCCGCACTCCGGACGCAAGAGCCGCATCTGCCGGGAAAATGTTGAGGCGAGCTCTAACACGCGCCGCCGGTTCGCTCCGGCAACGGCACCCCTGGAGAACGTGCGCGGCGCGGCAGTCTTCTTCGTCGTCACCATCTGCTGCTTCCGCCACTGTAAACAAAGTTATTCTCCGCTCCCTCAAAGATCACTATCTCGAAGTCTCCAAAATGACTCCTCCTCCGGTAAAAAAAACCCCTCCCACCTCCTTCCATTTCTTAGTGCACCGAGTTCATAATGCATAAACTTGAGATTTGTGAAGCTAGGGTTTCATTTCATTTTATTTTATTTTATCTTATTTCCCCCTTGTTTCTCCATTCTGATTTTTCTCGCGTCTCTGCTAATTGAAGCATACAATTCAGGCTTAAGAGGAGCTTCTTGGGCTTTAATTGATTTTGAACCAGTAGAAGTTTCATGTTTACTCCAACACATTTGGGATTGATTTGCTTGTAGTGATTGTTAAAATTCCGGTGGGCTGAGAACAAAGGGAAGAGTGTTGGGTAAAATTTACCACTTGCATATAAAGTCGTGATCCACTATTCTAACCCAAAAGCTTCGCTTAAGCTGATTTCACCTTCTATATATGCTAGTGCTATTGTTCTTTAATTTTCCGATGTGGGAACTCATATAGTGATGATGATTAGCTGGGTAATTACCATTAAATATGACTTTGGAGATATTTGTTGTGATCCAGAATATGGGTATTTACTAATACCTTGCTAAAAGGCTAGGATATGGCATTCAGAGTGTGTTTTGGCTGCATTTCATGAGAGAGTATAATATACTCAGTATATAAAACTACTCCCAAACCCTTGTTCCCCACCCCAGGAAAAAAATTCAGGTGTTAAATACTTTTTGCCCCAAAATACGAGTCCATTTTGTGCAAAACAGAACTGGTTTAGTTACATACAAGTATGTCCAGTTATATACTTTCTGTTTAGTTAAATCAACAAATAAATTTCTAAAAACTTAAAGTATGGAATATACAAGTTTACCATAATTTTGACCGTAGTTTACCATAATATACAAGTTGTACGGAATATATTGCTTAAGCATGACAGTTTTTTTGGGGGACAGAGGTAGTTTTACTTACTCTCTCGGTCTCACAACAAATTTCACCCTTTTCCAAAATAAACTTCATGCTTACCTTATTTCATTTTAAGGAAAGGAATGTGTGGCTCGCATCATTTCTTTTTCTTCTAAACACATTATAATCATACACTTTGCACTTTTCAACACTTTTCTTGTGCACCGTGAATTCAAACCATCAAATGTATTTTGGGATGGAGGCGGTATATAAAAAGTAATTGTCAGAGACTTGGAGTAAAAGCGTCCTTATTTCCACTTACTCCAAATCTTCAATACTCTAAAAACATGTTAAATAAATTCTGTTTATGGCAAACATCCATCCAAATGTTCTTGGTGTTAGAAGAAACATGAATTGCTCCTAATAGAATCCAAGTTCATGCAGTGTATTGTACAAAAAGGCCTTAAGCTAGATAAAGTGCTTATGCGAGTATTTGCAATTTCATTTTATTGCTTAAATGAACACCTTTTGGGTTCACTAAAAGTCTAAAAACCCCATCAGCTAAAAGCACATTTTATTTTTGCTTATTACTTTGTACAGTTTCATTCTCGCTAATGGTTTCTGTAAAATCGTTGATGGCATTGTTTTTTTAAAATTACTGTCTTATACCTTAACCAAGTGACTGACTCACTTCATGGGTGACAGAAAATTAGCCCTCCTTCTCCATTCACAGTGGTGAAGGGGGCACTTGATAGTGGTGGTCCTGTTTTGACACGGACACATGGCAACGAAGAGATAAGTGTCCGTGTGATGCGTTTGGCTAACATTATTCCTGGAGGAGATGAGGGAAACGATGATGATGGTGATGATGGGATTAATCAACTGTTTGTTCATGTTGACATATCTAAGCCAGGTCAAAAGGAGTCCCTACATTTTTTTTGTGGCTTATATCCTGATGCGTTGGGCATTCATTCAGTCACATTGAGAGCTAAGGAGGATATTGGGTTTCTTGAAGCCTCAAATAAATATGGAGGTCCAACTTTTCAGTAAGTTTCAGATGAAGTTCTCTATGGGATAACTTATGGTATAGCATGTAAGGACTTTCTCATTTAAGGACCTAAAGTGATTCTTTGAAAAAAGCACCAATCTGATGCTGTCTTGAGTTGTCTTGATTCACAAAAACATGAGAAGGCCTCTTGAACAAGCACTTAATTTTTTAAAAATATAAACAGTTATTTTATTATTTAAAGATTTATATAAACTTTAGTATTATTTGGTTGGGGGTGGGTTAATTTTTTAAAAATGCAAACAGTTATTTTATTATTTAAAGAGTTATATAAACTTTAGTATTATTTGGTTGGGGCCTGGGGGTGGGGATCCTATCTTCCCCCCCCCCCCCCCCCCCTCCCCCCTCCAAATTCTTTGAACTAGAACACTATATCCAATAAAAATCTTAAAATGAAAACATTAATTTAGTAGTATTTGTAGCTATGGTCTACAAAACAAAAAACATTAAATAATGTCATGTGGTTATTTTTTTTGGAAAGAACCTCTCTACTTTCGAGTAGGGATAAGATGGTCTACGTACACACTCCCTCCATTGACCCTACACTTTGTGGGAATTTACTGGGCTTGTTGTTGTTTGAAACTGATAATATTTTCAATTGGGCATTTGCAGAGATTTAGATGAAGGGACCAGAGATGCCCTCCACGCGTACATCGAAGAGCGTGGAATCAGCGAGAGCTTATTCCCCTTCCTCCAAGCTTGGCTATACGTGAAGGACCACCGGAATCTCATGCGCTGGTTCAAAACAATTGGCACATTCGTCGATGAGGGTAAAACAGCCTCGTCTGTCACTGCCTAGTTTTCTTTACATACTCTTATCTGTGCAGAGTGAAGAAGACTGCTTGAAAACAAGGGCTATGAAAAAAGTTGTCAAAATCATTGGTTTTCTAATGTTTCTGCAAGAAGGTTATTCCATATGTTACTTACTTTGCTGCTAGTCTCTTAATCCATTGTTTTCTACTCCCCTGTCCATTCACTTTCTTTTTACTGGGAAAAAAATGTGACTTGAAAACTCCGTGAAAGTCGAACACAGATGATATCAAGCACATATTTTTTACGTTTCAACGCTTCTTAAACTCCGTGAAAGTCAACCACAGATGCTTTTTTTGGGATTGAGGTACTATTCATTTTGATGGGCTCGTTTGGCAACAAGTTCAGTGTTTAGATGTACTCTTTTGAAAAAGGTATCTTATACCCGAGTAACATTATTAAGTTTTAATGTTTTCAAAGTTAATCTATATCATTAAAAAATTATCTAAAATGAACGGTAATAAAAAAATGTTATTTCCAAAACATTGTCCACAATGTGTATTTTCCCTTGTCTCAAGATTATGGGTCTATCTCTTAATTGGGCATTTACTTGCGTAGTGAAATTAATAAATGTACAAGTAAATTAAAGCAGGACCAAAATAAGAAGATATTGGACCTAAAGAAAGATTCCCAGAAGAATTAATCTAGACGTACACTTTCACTAATATGAGGTATCTCATTTGTACACCAAGATAACACATACACACACAAATGGGGTATCCCATGTTGGTGTACCTCAAAGTGACTAAATGAGTTCGGACAAAGTATTTTTCAAATTGGTTACGAGTAATGACTCAATGAGATTCATCCAACGAACATGAATAAAGAGTGATATGTAAATTTGAAGCTAACATCTTCACCATAAAAAGACTACAAATGCTTATAATTATTGTATTATATAAATAAAATAGGACCAGGTTTCAATAATTGTCCGACGATGACACGTGGCCAACCCTTTGACTTCAGCCAACTCAACGCTTTCTAACGGCGATTGCTTTCGTCTCTCTTGGACCAATGCTTCCTCGGTAATGAATATTCTTCACAGCAATGGACTTGTCTTTGTGGTCACGGACAAAAAAACCAAACCCAACGTACCCATCCACAACATCTATCGAAGCATCAACGTTAACCTTTTGAAAGTTAATCATCGGCCTCTCCCACATAGCCACATCCCTCATATGAGCTAAGGTATTACGTACAAGTGTATGATTATATGAGAGATATGATATCTCATCATATCAAAATAAAACTAACAACTTGATTTTATTTTGTTTCAAATTAAGTTTTAATTTTTTACTTTCCTAGGAAGGAAAAAAGCATTGTAACCAAATATGAGTTACAATTTTTAATAATTTTAAAAAATTGGTGAAGTCAATACCTTTTTTTTAAATGTTTGGGAGAGAGACTATATGAGGCTACAAAACATTAAATTATGTAAATGGGAAGTCAACAAATTAAGGAATTTCAATCATTTTAAAGTGGGACTTGGCCAAACTTCAAACTAGCCTATAGATGTTAGTGGGGGACATAAATGTGCGTGGCCATAGATTTTTCTAAATTGTATGCCACTAATATATTGTTGAAATTTTATGGCCCTATTCTTTTTGTCAATTTTCTTCTAAACAATTCACGAAAGGGAAAAAGACTAAAATATGAGTAACTCATTGAAAAATGTACCAAAATATAAGTTTAATATTTTTGTTCCCGAAATAGAAGTTAAAATGAATTTACATTACCAATCATGACCATGTACATTACTAAAAAGCATAGTAAAATGCACATGTACAGTGCCACATTACCACCGTGCGAACTCCTATTTAGAGAATAATAATATGAAATTTTTATTTTGATACTTTCTCTATGTTTTACAATCATTTAGGGTAATTCTTTTCACCGAAATCCCTTCATGGAGGGTTATTTGTTAATGATATAAATAGATGATAGATTGATAATGGTACAGAGAATTCTATTTATCTTTGTTGAGAATGCATTTATGTTAATAAGATATTATCCATATTGAGTCAAATTTTGTTAGATTTGAGAGAATATTTGAAAAATATTTCTGTGTATTTCTCACCAATCTTATATACAACCATAAGAATCCACGTGCTCGACAAACAAGGAAAGAAACTATAGTAGTAAAAGGAATAAACTATACAAAAGGAAATAAGTCACATATTATTAAGGGTGTATTATTAATACTAGTATTTTGACTTGTGCGATGCACGGGGTCAAACAAAGTTTTTGTCCATTCTGAAAATTTTCAATGCTATATACTTTTCAGAATCAATAAAATATATTTCTAACACTTTTTTAATCAATGAGCAATAATATTTGAGAAATTGAAAGTGTATCGAAAAAGCCTCTTTTAATTCCAAATTTTGTGAGAGACTTCAGGGTCACATATTATTAATATTACTAATTCAATTTACATTTCTAATCAGAAAGATTGAATATTTCTTTACAACTAGTTAATCATTCCTATAATTAGGATGATATTGAACCGTAAATTTTTCGAACGAAACAACTAGTACAAAATTGCAGTGTACAAAACGGGGTATTGGTAGGGATGTAAACAAATCAAATATTTTAAATTCGATTCGCGATTTGTATTTGAATATGATGATTCGAATTCGCGTTATTCAAATACAAATTCAAATTCAAATATTATTTTTGATTTGAATATTAATCAAATACAAATACAAATAGGGATATATTCGATTCGGATGATATTCGAATATTCGAATATATGCATATATACACAGACCATGTTTTCAACATCAAAAGTCAAGCAAAGTAATATACGGAGTAGTATCAAGTGTATTTAAAATACTAAGAATTCAATAAATTAACGTAACACAAAAATCTAAAGCATATGATTTTTAATAGTTATATTTTATAAAATATAATTTGTGTAAGATGCAAATGTATTAATGTTTTTATATAGGGAATATAGTAAATTACAANTGATTTGAATATTAATCAAATACAAATACAAATAGGGATATATTCGATTCGGATGATATTCGAATATTCGAATATATGCATATATACACAGACCATGTTTTCAACATCAAAAGTCAAGCAAAGTAATATACGGAGTAGTATCAAGTGTATTTAAAATACTAAGAATTCAATAAATTAACGTAACACAAAAATCTAAAGCATATGATTTTTAATAGTTATATTTTATAAAATATAATTTGTGTAAGATGCAAATGTATTAATGTTTTTATATAGGGAATATAGTAAATTACAAATTGATGTTGGTCCATCATATAAATTACATAGTATGATTATTCAAGTATTCGTTTATGATTCGATAACTATTCGAATATTAATCAAATATTTATTCAAATCTTATTTTGAATTCGTCTCATATTCGAATTCGGATTCGTATTCGAAAAACTAAACAAATACAAACTCAAATATATCGGTATTCGCTTCGCTTCGATTCGTTTACACCCCTAGGTATGGAGTACACCTAGCTAGCATGGTCCAACAATCATACCAATATACCCCTCTTTGTGTGTTGCGGGCCTAATTCGGGTTATAATTGGGTGCCCAAGACATAAATTGATTAACGCCCGAAGGCCAAACAGAACACGTGTAGGTACACCCTCCTTCTGGCACCAATTCATTTCCTTCCCCATAGAGAGATGTTAGAGTTTCGCTTTTAATGTCTTGACGCGTAAAACCATTTTTCACACTTTATTAAATTTTCTTTAATTTAAAAAAAAACATAAATCTTGAAATAAATCCAAACATCTTGACCGCTACCCCCGTTGATATATACAGACACACGCATTTGGAGGGGGATCCATTCTCAGAAGACACAAACTCCCAAAGCTGGGGTTTTTTCCTTCTTCTTCTCTATGTTTCTATAATAATCTTTGGATTTTTCAAGCTCAGCCATGGTGGGGATGATCAAGAACTGGAGGCCATGGCCTCCACTGTCGTCCAAGAAATTTGAGGCCAAGATTGTGGTTCACTGCCTAAAGGGCCTCAGAAACTCCCAAGAATCTGCTGGGAATTTGGCTGTTGAGATCAGGTGGAAAGGGTCGGCAAAGATCAACCCTTTGAGCTCTCTGAGGAGGAGGAGGAGTGGGGAGAGGAGGAATTTGACAAAGGTGGAGTCTTTGGTGGAGGAAGATGATGGAGGTGGGGTTTCTGTTTGCTGGAATGAGGAATTTCTTTGTGTCTGCAATTTTTCAGGCTACAAGGGTGCTGGGTTTCTTCCATGGGAGGTTTCTTTCACTCTCTTCAATGTGAGTTCTTTGATTGCAGTTCAATAATTTCCTATTATTTTTCTCTTTGTTTTTTTTTTAAATTTTGAAGTTGGGTTTTCCTATTTATGTTTTAATCTTTGAAAAGAAAAATTACACATGTGTGAAAAATCATGGTACAAGTATTATGGAATTAGAGGATTTTTGTGTGTCTGTGTGAAGTCTCTTGACAATCAGAAGGGGTAAGAGGATCTTCTGAGTTCTGATCATAGCCAAATTTCTAGTGAGATTTCAGATTTTCACCCCTTCCAGAAGTAGGGGTAAATTTGGTCCAAATATGAATTTCTGAAACTTGTCATAGAGTTTAGGTCTAATAGATCTTTTGATAAAGGTCTGCTTATAGAGGGGTTTGTTGTTGTTTATAGGAGAAATGATTTTGGTTCCTATAAATTTCTTGTAATATGTAAATCTTTGCATATTTCTGTAAAAAAATAATTAAGGGAATGAATTTTTTTATCATGCTGGAATTATGGCTATGGTTCTTTTTCCAACAGCTCAATCACAAAACACTCCATGAATTATGGCTTTTCTTTATGGACTTACTGCATCTTTTGGAATTGTTCTTTTTTTCTTTTCCAATGACAAAATAAAACCATTTTGATTTGCACAAATTTCTCCGTTCACACACCGAAGTTGGGAGTGTCACACCTTCCACATTTCACCATTCTGGTGGCAATGCATTGCTGCATTTATATTACCCGAAGCTTCATAGAAAGTAAGAAGTTTAGTGTCAATATTGACTCTCTTAGCTCTATCGACAATGGACCCAAATTTCCTCCTTTTGATGTCCCCTTTTTTGTGGCATGCTATCAAAAAATATATTTGTTGTGCCTTACCATCGTGGAATATATGTATGTATGTACGTATGTATATATGTGTGTGTGTGTGTATTGATGGAATATTTGTTTCCTAATGTATAGGGCTTGAGTGTGGAACCGACAGCTATCGCCACTGCATCATTAAACCTTGCAGAATACATTTCATCTGCTAAGGAGAAAGACTTTGAGATTACCATTCCATTGGAAGTCTCTAGTCCACAGTGTGTTCCAAGCAGTCCTATACTTTGTGTAAGTACTATTATCAACACGACGCCTACAGATCTTCCATTGCCATTTTTACCCTCCACTGTCTAAAGATGTGTACAATGCTGCTGCAGCTGTCTCTCAACCTCAGGGAGTTGAAACACGCTAATGAACCAGTGAAAAAGCCTGTCGCGTCCCCGACACATGGCGAAGTTCTATTGGAGGAGAAAAACACAGCAGCAGCAGCTTCGCCATTGAAAGTAGGTCTTGAAAAAGTTAAGATATTTACGGGATTGTCCCCTCGGGATCACAAGAAGGTTGTGGGCCACGAAGAGGAGGGGAGTCCGGTTGGAAGCGAGGACACCGAAGAGAACTACCCTTTGGACACGGACTCATTCGGGGACTCAGAAGAAGGGGTGGAGTCCGAAGAAGGAATCAGAGCGGATATCAACGATGTTAGGAAGTCCTTCAGTTATGAGGCATTGGCCTATGCAAACCTCGCCGGAGGAGGATCGTACTATTCTAATACGAGTGGGAGTGAAGATGAGGATTGGATATACTATAACCAACGGAAATCGGACGGCGATGATGCAACTAGAATGCCACTAGTTGATGAATCTACGCGGCAGAGTTCAAAACGGGGGATTCTCCCCTGGGGAAAGAGGAGATTGAGCTTTAGATCCCCTAAGAGGAAAGGGGAGCCATTGTTGAAGAAAGGGGAGGAAGGCGGCGATGATATTGACTTCGACCGCCGACAGCTTAGTTCACCAGATGAGCCGCCCGAGCTGCCCTCGTCCCCGGTAAGTTCCGTTTTTAGTTTTAGGCCTCGTTTGGGAACGACATTTTCAGTTAGCGTTTTGGGTTATTTTCTAATGGTACAAATTAACTTTGAAAAGTGAAAACACTATAGTTAAACACTTTCGTAGTTCCGTTAGATAGCTTTTTCGAAATGCTGAAGCTGTTGTGAAACGGGCACCTAATCATCTTCAATGTTTAGTTTTCTTTCTTTGTTAACATAACTTGTCTTTTAAGTAGTGCCTTACTGCCTTTTTTGCCTATATCATATACTGACAGTTCTTCTTATGATGTAAAAATATATCCATATTATCCATGCAGGTGATGCAGTATTGCAAAACTGAATTAGATTCAACTGAAAACCGGTCACCCGTCGCAGAATTCGGAGACGACAACTTTGCTGTTGGGAGCTGGGAATTGAAAGAGATTGTAAGCCGCGACGGAGAAATGAAACTGAAAACTAAGGTATTCTTTGCTTCCATTGATCAACGCGACGAACAAGCGGCGGGTGAAAGTGCTTGTGCCGCCCTTGTTGCCGTGATCGCCGATTGGTTTCATTCCAACCCTCCCAAAGAGATGCCCATCAAGTCCCAACTCGACTCTCTCATTCGCGAAGGCTCGCTCGAGTGGAGGAAGATGTGTGAAGTCGAGACCTACAAGGACCGTTTCCCCGACAAGCATTTTGATCTTGAGACGGTCCTACAAGCCGAAATCCGCCCGCTCTCGGTTTCCTCGGAGAAGTCCTTTGTCGGGTTCTTCCGTCCTGAAGGAGTCGAAGACGGAGACGGGTTCGATTTCCTCAAAGGTGCCATGTCATTCGACGACATCTGGGACCAGGTCGAGAAGGACGTGGGGCCCCCCTCGGTCTACATCGTGAGCTGGAACGACCACTTTTTCGTGCTGAAAGTCGAGCGGGACTTGATCTATGTCATCGACACGTTGGGCGAGCGCCTCTACGAGGGTTGCAACCAAGCCTTCATCCTCAAGTTCGACAGCGACACGACCCTTTCGCGGTCGATCAAACCGACCGATCCGTCTCCTGAGAAAACCGAAGAGGAGCCCGAAGACGGAAAACAAGAAACGGTTACGTGGAGAGGAAGGGAGGCTTGCAAGGAGTATATCAAGAGGTTCTTGGCAGCCATTCCCATTAGGGAATTGCTAGTTGATCTGAAGAAAGGGTTGATGGCATCATCCTTGCTCCTTCATCAACGGCTTCAAATCGAGTTCCATTGTACTAAGAACGTCAACCGTCCGATCGAGTCACCTTCACTAACTGCTAATCGTGATGATAACAACAACAACAACAACAATTCCTCAGAAACACAACCAGTTTTAGCAGGGTAAGTGTTGATTCAATGTGAGAGTATATACATATATAACCTAACATCATCCCTACTTTTTCCCTATTTGTAAAAAAGAAGAAGATGAACCCGGTCTCTTAGAGAGTCTCGGAACCAGCCAGCCGAACAGTTACTTGAAAGGAGGTAAATTATCCATTCTAGCAAGCAAGGAGTGAACCCCATCCCTTATGGTCTCAAGACCCGCCTCATAGAAGAAGTAAATTGAGTTATAATCCCAACCTGGCAAGGAGTGAAGTGTGTCTCTGGTACCTGTAAGGGGTATTTTGGTCAATTCTAGGGAAACTAAACTTTTGACTGGGAGTGAAGTATGTCTCTGGTATCTAAAAGGGGTATTTTGGTCAATTCTAGGGAAACTTCACTTTTGACACCAGAAACAGACTGGCACAGATATTTTCGCAGAGACAGTTGTTATCTGGGTTTTTATGTAGGGAAGTGTCCTTTCTCCATATGTGGGGTGGAAAATCTGCTTTGCTAGAAGGGCATACCTTTTTCTTTTTCTACTTTACTTTTTTTTTTTTGACTTTTTGGGTCCAGTGGCACTTTTTTTTTGCCTCTTTAAGAATGTAAATTAGTAAATGACTGAAGACAAGTAAAAGTGAATGCAATAAGTTTCTATCTCTTAAAGAGATGGACAGATGTATTGTGTGATTAAATATTACTCCATATATTAGAATAAGAGATGTACTGAGACTTTTTATTATCTACTCATAAAAGTTATATTACTTTATGTTCATTTTCAATTTGTTTCTCTTGAATGTTATTGCATGATAATGGTCTCTGAAATGAGATTTTTTTGGGCCCTATTGTAATGTGTGGATTTTTTTTTGTTTTAAAATTAGTGTTACATTGATTTTTCATCATTAATAATGCTAAACTTTGACTGCTAAAATATATATATTAGTGTTAAAAAAATAATTGGTGTTACATTTGTTTTTTCATGATTATTAATGCAAAACTTTGACTACTAAAATATGTATTTATATTTATAAAAAAAACTTTGGTCTTAAAAAATAGTACTCCACTAACCCAAACAAGTTTAAAAACTGTGGTTTACTCGACTTTTTTTTTCCTTCCTAAGCATTTTCATTTCTTCCATAATTCCTTGAACCAAACATAATAGTCAAGACGTGTAAAACTATTTGAAAAAGGAAGTAACATTTTGAACTAAATTTTATTCCGTCCTACAAATCATTTCCAGCTTGAAAATATGCATTTTTGGTGTTATTTTCTAATTTTTAATTTTCTATTATTTGCTACCCTATTACTCCCTCCGTCCCAAATTATAATGCCTGTTTACTATTCACAGGGTCAAATTTCATTCACTTTCTTTCTCTATTTTCGTTAGCAATTTGATAAAATAAAATATTGTTGTCACTACTAGTTTTGTAGATCTTTTGATGTAATTTTTTAATATGTAATTTTTATTTTTTAATTCTATACCATTTGTCATATAAAATGCTTTGAAAATAATTTCAGTCCAAAATCGTAAACCGAAACAGGCGTTATAAATTGGGACGGAGGTAGTATAAAAGTAAGATCAAAATTTAAAAAAATGACACCAAAATTGTGCAATTTTAATGACTGTCATTATTCGAACAGAAAATGTTTTGTAAGACGGACAAATGGTTCATTCTCGCTGTTCTTAGACAGATTCATTCATTCATTCATAAGTAAATAAATAAATAAATAAATAATCTATTACCTTCAGAAACAAAAAAAAACAAAAAGAAAGATGAAGAAATTTACAAGGAACTATGGTATTTTTTTTTTAACATAATAAATATGGCCAGGCCAAATGCTGCTGTTATTGAAATCCAAACACAACACACAGGCTTTTGCAGTCCTGATATGGAGAGAGTGACAGTGGTACTAATTAAACCTTCCTTGTTTACTGCTTTACTCAGAACATAGATGAGAGGCCAGCTTTACCACTCCATGCATGGATGCATCATCCTGTGCATTGTATTAAGGAATGAGTTACGATAAAACGGATAAGGTCGGTGTCGTAATATGTAGGACACTCATGTCATTTGAGGGTCTTACGGTGGCCCGTTCGATCTTGAAGCGGTCCCTACCCCCCCAAGAAAACTCGGGACTTTGTGGTGGGTGGGTGGGGGGAGGTTCCTAATTGTGCGTGTGTCTAGAAAATAACCAAACTGTAATCAAAAGTAACCGAGCAATTTGGTCTAGTGACTCTAGTCAGCTTAGAAGATTTGATATTCGAAGTTCGGTCAAGATAACAAAAATATATACGGAGTATAAAATCAAGTCTCAAGAAGAGCAAAAAAAGTTCATACCAGATAAAGAACGTCGAATGCATTTCTATAGCTGTCAAGAGAATCCTCAATGTTGTGGTTTCTGCAATGATTTTTTTTTTCAGTTTCCTTTTTTGAAAGACAGGTGAAATAATTTTCACAAATTCATAAGATAAGCGAAGCTTCAACTTACAGAAAACCGACAGAAATTCGAGTTTCAAAATTTAGACCATCGGACATTCCCAAGTCTCCAATGTGGTCGCCGAGAAGCAAAACATTGGTTCTCTGCTTTAGAGAAGATTCCTCATTAACCATTCCCTTGTCTTCATCAAATTGGTCATGAAGAGGGGCAGCCATGTCAAGTGCATGCTCATTCTTGTTAAGAACATGAATGGTCTTCCCTATAAAACACAGCTTACGAAATTTCGGGCATGATCTAATGATTAATATGAATAAGTTAATGAAAGGGAAGTTATTTACATATACTCCCGCAAAAATCTTCACTTTCCTTTTTCATCCGTTCTGGAAAAAAAACGTCACTTTCCTTTCAAGGAAAAGAATGTGCCTCAAAAAATTTCTCTCTTCAATCCCAACCACATTTTTTTCACATTTCAATACTTTTTTTTAAAACTCTGTGAAAGTCAAACACCGAAGATTTTTATGGGACGGAGGTAGTAGATGCTTTTACTTGTTTCAAAAGTCATCTCATATGTTTAAGGCTGAAAAGCCCGGGAACGAACTTCAATAAACCGTTCCACGCTAGTGTTGTTACATAGATATGAAAAAAATGATACCTTTAAAGTGCAATAAGTGGCCATTCTCATCAAACACCATCCTATTGGATACAATCCTCACATTCTTGAAAGATTTACACAGTTTCTGCCTTAGTACCTGACAGCAAAAGCAAGTTAGGCGTTGTTGATAAACTTTTTAATAATATTAGGCTCATTAAACTAAATTTACTATATTCAACTTGTTTGAGACACCATTTGTATAAAAGAAAACATAAAAATAAGATAAAAATTGGCTTCTTTAGTTTAAATATGATTCTTTCTGGGGGGTCAAAAGAAGTGTACGAAAAAGACTTCTTTTTTGGGACGGAATATTAAAGAACTGACCTCCTCTATAATGTCTGCAAGACCAGCCGAAAATATCAGAACAGGCACATTTCTCTCCTGCATTTCATTGCAGAACCCATAGCAAGTCAGATCAATCAAGAAGTGGAAAAGAATGAAAAGCATCCAAATGATCAAAATTCACCTCAAGGAGTTCAAATAGTTCAGCAACACCGTCTCTGAAAGCAATATTTGCATTCGCCACTGATTTTTTAATAGCGTCATATGTAAGACCTCCTTCAATAAGAAGGCCGTGTGTTTTACCCCACCTGCAGAAGTGAGTACGAACTTACAGATACTAGACCTTTGTTTCTTCAAGCATTATCGAATTAAAACGAATCGCCTTTGTAGAGTTTTTTTTTGAAGAAAAGCTCGCGAAGCTTGCAAAGTATGGACTTATTAGTTTATGATATTGCATTGGAAGGTTGAATCAAGCGAAGAAGCATACCACTCTTCCATGAGCCGGGCCTTCTCATCAAGTGGTATCGACGGGTTAAATTCTAATGGATGATAATATTCATATAATTTCTGCCTCTTGATATTGTACTCCGGATTCTCCTGTTGCAAAAGGCCATGACTGCCTATAGATTTTGTATCAAACATGTCACTCACTTTATGTTGGAGAGAGAGAGAGAGAGATGCATTCTTTTGACAACCTATATGCATCTACTTGTACCTTTAAGAAAATAGGGAAACTTGAATACTTACTCTTCCCTCGTTGCCCATCTATCCAATATTTTGTCAACGTTGCATCAAAATCTGCAATTACCTAGTGCATTATAAACCATCATATGAACCTTATGAAGTAGAAGCACAAAGAGCACGGGGGGGCATTAAAATTTTGAAGTCAGAACATGACAGGAAACACAAATTCATTTTGGGACGGAGGGAGTATTAAAAGTTTTCAAGCCTGACATTTGGCCTGACTATGGAAGGATGTGATTGTCTCAACTAGAAACTTGTGGGACAGACTATTTCAAATCATCATCGCCTCATACTATTTCTACGCAGGTGGAAATAATGAGAAGGTTCTAGCACTAAAAGGCGTTTGGCCTAAAACTTTACCTTTGTGATTTTTTGCTTGAATTAAGGATGTTAGTTGATTTTAGACAATCGATAGACCTTTCAAATTTCATGACTCAGATCTCAACTTGTTGAGATTAAAGCGCTGATGATTATCGCTCACATTACATCTCGACAGTCACCGAACAGCAAAACTCCATCTCAAGTAAGAATATTAACAATCACAAAAGCCAAACTCTATCTAGTGTACCCATTTTGAAACACCTATCTAATAGTAGCATTTAGCATTAACATTTTCAATGTCAGTTGCACAGAGATTCCGTATTTCCATACTCTACATCCACAACTTATCCATGAAAAATTCTTGTTTTCGAGTCTAGGAAACGTTTCAGGAGCTAAAACCCAAGCTGTTCTTAAATGCTTCCTAGCATCTAGTTAAGCACAATTCCTAAAAGCAACACAGATCACTCTCTTTTTTTCCTTCTTCTTTATTTAATACAGATGTATGAGAGAACCTGGAGCTTTGAAGGTCCTGCACGGCGAATGGCAGAAATTTTCTTGTGCAGAGAATCAGCTTGACCAACCACCACCTGCGACTCTGAGCCATCAATGACCACTGCTTCCATTCCAGCTTGATTTCCACCACTCACCTTACAACTACAAGCAAAATAGCAAATTACACCCTAGGGTCATTCCCAGAAACAAGAACCCCCCCCCCACCCACACACACACAAAACTCATTCTCAGAAAAAGAAAATAGGTATGAGAAATGGGTTCAATCAGAGGCACAAAACACGAACTGGGTCATTCGGAAAATCAAGAAAACTCGGAAAAGAAGCATTTTTTTAGTTGAAAAAGTCATTTTTTATTGGTTTCTCTGGTGGATAATGAAGTACCTGAGGCCGTTGTGGAAAGGGGAAAAGAAGGGGCGAAGGTGAGCAGTTCTGCAGCTCTGATGGAAGGAGAAAATGGGAATGTGACCAAGTCTGTGCGTCATAGAATGATCCGAGTGTGCAGTGGAGGCTGTTTTAGCAGAGCAGATTGCATACTTTTTTAGTTTAAGGGAGGGAAGAATTATTAGATAATGACTTTCTCTAAATAGTACCATATATGTTTTTCTTCCCAATGTAACATTTTTAGTCATTATGCATTATGCATTAGTCATTATTCAAGTAAAATATTTGTCATCACTGGACATTATGGACATTATTAAGTGCTATTTAAGGAATAAAATATTTTAAATGCTATTTACAAAAATGACTTAAGTTTTAATACTATTTAGTGCAAATATTTCTTAGTTATTTGTATCCAAGATTTGTATCTCAATTTGTACACTACAGGTGTGCACCTACGTTTTGTATCGGTGTAATGCTATGAATCCTATGATGACAGTTCACACAAACACAAAATGTTAGTGCAAACATTAAAATTTTTGTTTATCTGTATATTTTCATCAATTTTGATAAAGTAAAATATTTTATTTCACATTTTGCTTTAAAGAGCTTTTGAAATAATATTTAAATATGTAAATTTCATTTTTTATTTCTATACAAATTTTTAAATAAATGAATTGAAAAAAAATGAGATTTTGTTTCCTAACGTGACAAACACGGAGAGAGTATAAAAGTGAGCCCAAAATTTACTAGGCATGCATATATGTGGAGAAGATGCATGTTTCACTTTTTGTCACAAATCTGTAATTAAAGTCGAATTTATTTTTTTCAGTGACTGTTCGGTTAGGTCCGAGAAAAACCTTAAGGATGGGGCTTGTCCTTTTTTGTTTTGCCTCCTAACGTTATGCACTCCTTTATGAGTCACACACGTCACGCACTCCTCGTTTTTTAAATGTTGATAAATTTGCACCAAATAAAACTAAAACTAAAGTCATTTCCCAATATAGGACTTGAAATTTTTTATTTTCTAAATAGGACTTAATAATGTCTAGTGGGAGAAATAATGTCCAGTGATGGTGGATATTTATTTGAATAATGACCAATGGTCCTACTTTGGAAAATAAAAACATATGGTCCAATATTGAGAAAGTCATTATGTTTTAGTCCTATATAAGTAAACTTCCCTTAAATGTTTTGTACGTTGATTAAAAATAATTTGAATGAGATGTAATATGTATCAAATTATACCAAGTATTAGAAGTGAAATGATTTAAATTAATAAATTGATAGGTGGTTGTGAAAATTTCTAAACCAACTAAACATTACCATTTCTTTACATGATTGGTTTAGGGTATCTCAAACAATCACTCTTAGGAATGGAATACATCTTCCAACCTCTTTGGAATCAACCTCTATAATAGGGTATCTCAACCTCTTTGATATGTTGTTGAATGTGCACTTCATATACTATGTCTTCATCATGCTATTACGTTTTGTAACCTTTTCACTCAAATGTTTGCTTCGAAATCTCCGATTTGTATTTCAATAAGACAATATTGTTCGTATACACGAGCACCCCTAGTGATTTGTCACCATCACACCTATTATAGAGTTTACCAACAAAAAAACACAAACAACATTGCCAAAAAACATAGAAGCACAACTTCATAAGATTTTCTTTTAGTTGGTTTTGATACATTGGCATGATATATGACAACCAATCCCAACTCCACATGATATGTTTGTTTTTATGCACCCATTGCACAAATCTATAACCCAACTCACCTTTTATTCTCCTAAGATTACGTTGAAGCAAGATCTGCATATACTATATATATCAAAGACTCAATCTGAATCACCCGATTCAAAAGAGGACAACCGCAATCCAACAAGTAACGAAGTGTGATCGGTCGTTACTTGTCAAACCACAATTGCCCAATTTGAATCGAGCGATTTAGATTGAGAAGAACCAATCCATTCAACAACAGAAAGGGCAGACAATCAATCCATTCTCATTGCACTCCGGGCATTTCTTCCACTCACCATGATCATCACCATCGTTGTGATCAAGATGAAGTCTTTTGCTCCCACTGCACCTGAAACACAAGATGAACCTCATCCCAACACACCCACCACAAGGTTCTTGAAGATCATCAAGAGGAATGCCTTCAAGAAGAGGCTTAAGCTTCCCTTGTTCATGTAAGGCAAAAACTTGTTCAGCTCCTCCAATGTACCTCCCTCTTATGAACAGCCTTGGTGGCAGCACCTTTTGTCCTAATAATTCCCACAATTCCTCCTTGAACTCCGAATGTATCGAGATGTCTCTCTCGAAGAACAAAACCCGAAAGTCCTCTAGAAGAGAGGTCATGTTTTGGCAATCCTCATATGTCTTTGGAATCCCTCTCAGCCCTGTTGTGTATAGAATCACTGAATCACTTCCTCCTGGTGGACACTTCTCTTCAAAATCTAAAAGGGGGTCAGTTTTTTCCATTATTCTCCTCGCTTTCGCAGGAGGTTCTTGCTGATCATCTTCATCATCATCTTCAATCGAATCAATCTCAGAGAAGGGGGCAAATCTTGAATTGAAAATTCTGAAAGATTCAATCTTTGGGTTCGTTGGGCTGAAATTCTTTGAAATTTTGGCCTCAGGGACGGGTATGAGGTTCTCTTTGTCATCGACCTCATCAAGGAACTCCATTTCTTCATCTTCAAGATCCTTCATCAGCTCTGAAACTTCTATGATTTCTGGCACTTGATCTCGGACAAGGGTAAATCTGGGTTCTTCTTCTTGTTGTTGAGCAGAAATGGTGACCGACGGAAAGTGGGGTTGGGTCGCCGGCGGCGGCGGCGGCGGAGGAGGAAGAGGAGATTCCGGAATGTACCCATCGGAAGCCTTTAAACGCAGGACTCTTTCTTGCTTACAATGTCTCATTGTTTTGATTTTCTTGAGCAGCTTCACCTTTACTGATCTCATTTTCTCTTGGGGTTAATCAAGAAACATGAGAATCTTGGTTTTCTTGAGAGAGAGAGAGAGAGAGAGAGAGAGAGATTAAATGAGGAATAGAATGGGGGTGCAGGGAAGAGGGAAGTGGGGGGTACAAGTAACGGCTATAAAAACATGTTTCATGTTTATGTTGAAAAGTTTGTTTTAAATTTTGAAAAAAGGATTGGGTTACTTTGATGTTAAATTTTTGATTTGTCAAAATGAAGAATAAAGACAAGAAAAACAAAAGTAAATGGTGTTGTAACATGAAATGGACTAAACTCGACTTGGCGCGCAACACAAATTAAAGATTGAATTTAATTTTTTACGGAGTATTATTTAAAAAATGAGCACAATTTAGCTCAATTCATAAACAAGAAGAGCCCAAGCTAAAAAATTGACTAGTATTTCTACTTGCCAACATAAAAATCATATGTCGTGTGTAGGTGTAGAGTTAGACCAATATTGGTCTAGTCCAAACAGAGAAATTTCTACTTCACATTTTCTAATACGGGAGGGGGGGATCGGCCAATTCTAGCTCCCAAAAGTGAGAATCCTAACGAGAACCCTTCCCTGGCGATCTCAAACCTAATTACTTCCTCCGTCCCTAAATATTTGCAACGTTTGCTTTTTCAGCGTCGTGGGAACCTTTGTTTATTTTTACGTTTTCATTGGTTATTTGATAAAATAAAATATTTTTGACACCTTTTATTTCGAATAACTTTTCATGTAGTTTTTTTGATATGTAAATTTTATTTTTTATTTCTATACCAATTTGTAAATAAAATGAATTGACTTGGAGGATCTAATAACACTAAGTAGGGAGTAAAACTTAAGGTTCCGGTTTCAAACTTAAACATTGTTCACCCCTAGTGTCAGACTTGGAGGATCTAATAACACTAAGTAGCAACAATTAGTGGGCATAATTTTGCCATTATTACCCATTACTAATCCAGCAAATCAACGACTAATTTACACATTGGTCCCCTTTTCCACAACCCATCAGAATTAATTCCATTAAAACAACAACCATAATGTTTTTTTTCACTCACACATTATTATTGTTATAAAAAAATACTCATTATTTTTCTAGTGTAAAAAATCTTCTACCGAAACCATTTTTTACCATATTCGGAAAATAGCTATTCGATTGTATTATCATTTATAGAGTGCAAGGATATCATAAAACCATTTTTTAAGAAATTCTAAGTTTAGAATTAGTCTGCCCAAATTGCTTCCTGAATAAAAGTTTTATGCTTGATAACCACAAACTAAATTTCTCATATATATATATATATATATAATGCTCCCTAACCAGAAATATATAAGGTGTGTTATAGTTTCTGGTTGTTTAGTTGGATATTAAAACAAAACCCACTACTGGTGGAATTTAAATAGTCCAATAAATAATTACCTTTGCAAACAAAAATATTATTTTTCTGAGAGTTCACTTGTTAAGAGGCTACATATAAGTAGAATAAAAAGATAAGCGCAGCCAAACGAGGCTTAACGGCATAACCTCCATACATTATTATTATTTTTTATAATATTGATATCACAAAAAAGGTTGAACAATAATAATAATAATATTAATAATAATATTAGCAGGTACACCTTCATATATCCCAGACAAAGCTCTGTGGCTATTGGAGAAATGGACCAAAAACAGACATAACTTCTTCGTAAACCGGCTTCTTGAAATCCACCGCCTGCGCTCCGCTCCAGAAATATTTCATCCAAAACCAAAACGATCATATAAGAGCCATAGCATGGGATTGGCGACGTAAACAAAAACATGGTCAATTGGTTATCCTCGTTATGAACCATGGATAATTGTGATAAACAACAAAGCAAACGAGGCCTAAACGACTGGACTTACTCGATCAACAACTTGTTCAGGTGACATCCAAGACCACTCTCCGAATTCGGCCTTCTCAGTCCCATCACCCAAAAGATTGACTTCCTCCTCCTTTCCAGTAAACTTGAAGAGGAACCTAAAGTTATGAAGATCGCAATATTAGAGACCAATGTGAGGATGACAACAACAAACTCAGTAAACCCCTACAAAAAGTAAGGTCTCGGTAGGGTTACCCCTACTCGGTATTGTTGGGTTATTTGGTGAAGGCTTTAGAGCTTTGGGCTTTAAGCCCGGTCGGTTAAAGGGAAGAAATATGGGGGGCCGGTTTTAGTTATTAATTAAAGGGCCCATTAGTTGTTTCTTGTTTAGCAAGTTGTTAACCCTAATTTATATCTTATAAATACCCAATCATGTAACTATAATCTGTGAGCACCTAGTAAAAGATAAACCCTAGTTGCAACCCGTGGAGTAGGTTACTGACCGAACCACGTTAAATCTCGTGTTCTTATTTTCTGCTATTTGTATGTGTGTGTGTGTGTGTTTGTTCGCTTCCGCTTGATCGCCTCTGATCTCTGATTCCTAACAAGTGGTATCGGAGCCTTGGTTCGGTTAAACACACGGTTACACAGGATCAATCGCAGGAAGAAGGCTGTTCAGGATCGTTGTTGCTGCTGTTTTGCTGCCGCGGTTAAGGGGCTGGTTCAGATCTGATCAGGGGCTGGTTCGGATCTGATCAGAGGCTGGTTCGGATC